CTCAATCGAGATAATTCACATAAAGTAGATTTATTTTAACTGGAGTATAATCTTAACTCACTCTCTCTCTCTCTCTCTCTCTCTCCCTGTTCATTTTCTTTAGTGTCAAAGTGCTGCAATCTCTGTTCTTATGTCAATATTAGACAACTCTAAACCTTTCTTGGCAATGGCTAGTGACCCGTATGTATAATAATTAATGTATTGTATGTTCACATTTTATTATTTTGTGTATTTAAGGTCTTCAGGACCGACCCATCCCTTCATATCGTACTCAAATAAACTTGGGGGCGTGATAAGAGAGCTTCATTGCTCACTCCTTGAGTTTATTTTAAAGGAGAAGAGAGCAACGTTATTAACACAGGCAGTTAAAGTAAAGTAGCTGCTGGTGATTGTGTCTGTATCTCTCTCTCTCTCTCTCTCTCTCAGTGTTTGGCTATTTTAGTTTCTAATACGTCTTATCACAAACTCACAAGTTCATACATAAAACATATATTGTCATGTCTTGGATCTATCATTTCAATAAATCGTTAGTCTATTTTATATTAATGCAATTGGCTGGTATAAACTTTGGGCCAAATTTGAGAAAATAAGTACAATAATCATGCAAAAAATTAAAAAAAGCCAAACTTGGCTTAAAATTACTCCCAATTTTTGAAAAAAAAAAAGCAAAGGCTATAGCCCATTTTTTCCAAAAATTGCTCCAAAATCACAATTTTCTGATACATACTGTATGGCTGATTCTTATGCTAATGTATGAAGTTAATTCCCATTGTTAATTCTTTAGTTTCATTTATTTTCCTTTAGAAACCGATGTGTCGATTGCTTGTCTTACCTGCTATGGTGCTCTTATTTCACTCTCTCTTCCATTGGAAGACTCGGGAAAGTCCTCGTTGCCTCGTTGCGAGATGGAGGCGTGGCTTAAAGAAGATCTTTGGATTTTGGATCATTGTGTTCAGTTAATTACGCAACAAGGTAATGTACTATTTTAGCAAATATTTATGTGTTATGTATGACACATTTCTATTATTCTGTATATTAAATACACAATTATTATTCTATATATTGACAGACACAAAGCAGTCGTTATTAATGGAAGCCATTCAAGTCCTCACCGCTCTTGTCAAGTTCTATTTCCCTCAGATTAGGTGGGTGTGGTTGTTTCTATGAATATTAAATAGTTTGTATGTACCTGTACATGTATACAGGCCTAAATGGAGAGAACTTGCTAACGTTTACTTTGAGCATTTGGTCAACAAACCAGAGCCGATCCAGCTTCATGCATTAAAGGTATTTCTAATTGCAATCATTTATTTTAATTTTATTATTATAATTCATTAATTGCTTGATATAGTTTCTTGATGAAATTGGGCGCACATTGGCAACAAGACAAGATATGTCTGATGTGAGTAAACTGTTAGTCCTACATGTACATGTATTTAGAAAAATGGCCATAACACTCGAAAAATTGAAGTCGAAATTGGCTCAAACTTTCTACGTAACATAAGTACATCAATATGTATCAGAAAATGTAATAAAAATTGGGGGTGATTTTGGAACCATTTTTTGGAAAAAACCATGGGCTATAGCACAGTGTATTTTTCCAAAATTTAGAGTTTTTTAAAGATGGTCATAACTCGAAAAATTGAAGTCAGAATTGGCTCAAACTTTCTACGTAGCATAAGTACATCAATATGTATC